GTGTGTCTCTGTGTGTGTGTGTGTGTGTCTCTGTATGTGTGTGTGTCTCTGTGTGTGTGTGTATGTGTGTGTGTCTGTGTGTGTGTGTCTCTGTGTGTGTGTGTATGTGTGCGTGTCTCTGTGTGTGCGTGTGTCTCTGTGTGTGTGTGTGTGTGTGTGTGTCTCTGTGTGTGTGTGTGTCTCTGTGTGTTGACGTTCTCTCTGCTCTCCCTCTGATGTCAGATTCTGGACTCGGAGCTGTTTGAACTCATGCAGCAGAATGGAGACTACACTCACTTCTACTTCTGTTACCGCTGGTTCCTGCTGGACTTCAAGAGAGGTGACCTCATCCTCTACCCTCGCTGACCCGTAGTTTCCACCTCATCGAGTTGAGTCTGCTTTAAAGCTGCGTTGAGTCATTTTGACTCGTGATCACAGTCGCACTAAAAAGGCATTCATGCTCAACGTGCTGTTCGTTGCATTATTCTCTGAAACACTAGAGGACGTACGAACAAAATACTAAAACTGTGAAGAATCAGAAAGAAACCAGTAAAACACAATAAACCATCTCATGTTCATGAACTACTTTATTACCTTTATACGAGCCCTGTAAAGAGAGAAGTCAAGTATTAAAAGTATGATGAAGAAACAAAGGTTGAATATCCTGTAAACTATTTGATTTGCTGCAAAATATTTACTCAAATGTAGATTTTTAAGACGTCCTGTTACTAAAACATCTAAAAACTATTTCATCTTCTTTATACAATCCTCAGACTTGTTTGTACTTAACTTTCTCCTTTACATTTCTGTGGGAAGTATTGTGCTTTTTAGTAGTTACTTGTTACTTTGCAGCTTCAGATTAGGGATAAAAAATATATTTAACATATGAATTATGTTGTATTATTATAGATTAAGCAACCTGATAGCATATTAGTTAAGATTATCCCCACCCTCACGAGATGCAACATCAAAGTGATTCTTTGCATTAAGAACTATAACTCCATTATTGGATATATATTATACTTGTGCACTTTTATACAAGTACTAAAGTGCATGACTTGTACTTGTATTGGAGTATTTCTGCACCACTGTATTGCTTCTTCAAAAACAGTGATCGTAGAGTCAATATGCTGTCTATAAACATTTGTTTTGTGTGTGCGTGTGCGTGTGTGTACAGAGCTTCTGTACGAGGATGTGTTTGCGGTGTGGGAGGTGATCTGGGTGGCTCCCAGGATTTCCTCGCAGCACTTTGTCCTCTTTCTGGCCTTGGCCCTGGTCACAGTGTACCGTGAGATCATCATGGACAACAACATGGACTTCACTGACATCATTAAGTTCTTCAATGGTAAGAAACAGGCTTGAATCTGCATATCCATCATTCTAAAGACTCCTGTGTGCTTTAACAAACGAGTTGAGACAATGTGTTGTCTGATGCTGATGCCTGTTCCAAACAACCGCACTGGAAGGTCTTCTCTCTAACAGTGTGTCTGATCCACAGAGATGGCTGAGCGTCACGATGTCCAGCATATCTTGAAGGTAGCACGTGAGCTAGTGCACAAAGTCCAGTCTCTGATGGACAACAAGTGACTATAGAGGGGGAGGAGGAGGAGGAGGAGGAGGAGGAGGAGGGGGGGGGGGGGGGG